TTATCCGATCTTGAATTAGTCGAGCACATAATAAATCCGAATAAATCCCTTAGCTTATTTTACTCCATTTTAAATACTATCTTGAAAAAGCATGCACCAATAAAAGAAAAACGTATCAAACGTGAACACCGCCCGGAATGGTTTACTGATGAGATAAAATATCTTATACATGAACGCGATTACTATCATAAAGTAGGGAAACATGAACAATACAAATTGCTCAGAAATAAAATAACATCAATGATTAAAAAAAGTAAAAGAGATTTCTTTAACAATGCTATTAAAAATAACAAAGACCCGGCATTTTTATGGAAAAATTTAAAGGACGTTTCAAATCTAAATAAAAAAGGTAGTATTACAATGCCAGACAGACTAGTGACAGATAATAAAGAAATTTACGGAACTGTTAATATTATAAATGAATTAAATAAGTATTTTGTCAATATCTCGAATGTCATACATAAAACAAAGTTTTCAAATACAAATTTTTCAAAATTGAAAGAAACTTTAGACCAAAAGCTAATACATCATGAATTTAATATTGAATTAATTACACCGTTTGAAGTAAAACTTATTATAGAAAAACTGAATATTAAAAAATCTACAGGATTAGATGGAATTGGACCAAACATCATCAAATATTGTGGAGATTATATTACACCAATAATTGCATCAATTATCAATAATAGTATTAAATCTAATATTTTCCCAAATGATTTAAAAAGAGCTCGAGTTATACCTATTTTTAAATCGGGGGATAAGAATGAAGCAAATAACTATCGACCGATATCAATTTTGTCAACTATATCCAAAATATTTGAGCGCCATATTGCCAAACAAATACACTCATTCTTTGAAAAAACGAACATTATTCATAATAGACAATCAGGATTTCGTAAAAATCATTCATGTAATACTGCACTCATAAGTTTAATAGATACTTGGTTAAAAGATGTTGACAGTGGAATAATTATAGGGACTGTATTCTTAGACTTAAAGAAAGCCTTTGATTTGGTTGACCATGAAATACTTTTGCATAAACTTAAACTTTATCATTTTTCTGAAAATGCCGTTAAGTTTTTTATGTCATATCTTTCTAACAGAATACAACTAGTTAAGATAGGTGATCTACAATCTCAGACAATGAAAATAATTTCCGGTGTTCCACAAGGCTCAATATTAGGACCTTTATTATTTCTAATATACATAAATGACATAGCTTTCATTGGTAATGATATGAAAATTGATTTATACGCAGACGATTCTACTCTTTATGAGTCCGGAGAAAATATATCAAAAGTAGAAATAAAACTTCAAGATCATTTAAATAACATTGACAAATGGTGCAAAATAAATAATATGGCCTTAAATCCAGATAAATCAAAATGTATGGTAATAGGTACAAGACAAAAAGTAAATATTATGAGAAAATTAATTCTTAAGATAAATGAAATAGCTCTTGAAAATGTAACTGATCAAAAGTCTTGGGTATTTGCATAGATAACAACTTAAATTGGCACTTGCAAATTGACAATGTTTGTAAAAAACTTAACGGAAAAATTGCCTTATTGAAAAAAATATCGTATTTTTTGCACTTTGATATGAAATTATTGTTTTACAATTCATATATATTGCCCATTATGGACTATTGTTGTATTATATGGGGTAAAGGAAACACAAACTACATAAATAATGTTTGTAAGTTACAAAAACGAATTGCTAAAATCATTTTACAGCAACCTCAAAGATCTCCGTCAACAAATCTATTCGAAACTCTTAATTGGTTACCGTTCCTTGACAGATGTAAATACCACACGGCGGTGCTTGTTTTTAAAACTTTAAATAACATGGCACCGACGTATATGACAGAACTGATGACTTTATCCGACAACAAAATATATAACTTAAGATCTAGGTCACGGAAAGATATTGTATTATGGACAAGACCTAAAACAAATTATATTAAAGACACATTTTCTTATTATGGCATGAAAATTTGGAACAATATACCTTTAAATATTCGTAATGTTAATAACCTTAAATGTTTTAAAGAAAAATACAAAGCATATCTTGATGTTCAAATGAATGAATGAGTGAGTGAATGAATGAATGAATGAATAAATATATGAACGAACGAATGAACGAACGAACAAATGATGCAATATACATATATGTTTAAACAAAAATTGTTGAGTGCCTGTCGAAAGTATATGAGTTGTATTATTCTAAAAATTACATATTATACATTCATTTTTCTACCTATGAATTTCCTGTTGTTGTTGTTGTTGTTGTTTTCTTTTTCAGAAGGCCACTTTGGAAATAAGATATATATGATTGTTATTGTATGTTCTTAATGTGTAACCTTCTTTAAATAAAGATATTATTATTATTATTATTATTATTAAGTATATTAAAACAGACGACAAGGAAGACATATACAATAGTTTCTATTTATATAATTAACGTATCCTATTTAAGCAATGTGTTTAGCGACTGCTATTTTATAAAATACACATTTACTTTAAAAAGTTCAGATTTAAATTTCCGGCATTGAACCTAAATATGTTATAAGCACATATTAATGATAATACCGCTACGACAATTGAGCGATCTTTTGTTATTACTTATTTTGTTATTTTTAGAACTTTTTATGTAAACGTGCGTTTGATGATTAATAATAATAATAATAATAATTATTATTATTATTATTATTATTATTATTATTATTATTATTATTATTATTAGATGATATTGATCTTTCTGTAAGATGTAGCCTCCCTTGAAGTCATAAAAAATTAAAAATCAGACTACTTTATAAAACCGCGTATGTGTTAGATTTGATATTTTTTACAATGTTAATATATCCAGTATATAGATTTTGCCATGCCTTTAATATTCCACGGTATGCCGTTAAAAATACCGCTAAAATTTTGACAAAACAAATGATTTTGAATATTCCAAAACACAGGATATTTCCGTGCTTCATATGATATTTGTCGGCGATCACCGCGTTAAACTTACTATTAACATTTTAAGATGACGTTTGAAAAACAAAATAAATAAAATGAAATTACTTAAAAATAATAAAATGGAAAAAAGAAGAAGAAAAACATAAAAAATTGTACACACATAAAAAGTCGGTATTGTTATGTCGAAGCTTTTTTGTATCTTTCAAAAACAGACTATCATAATAATACGAATGATGCAGAGGTTAAAATGTTTATATTCTGTTAAAAAACTTAAATACAAAAATAACATGTTTTGCAATTTAGTACAAGATCTTTTTCTGTTGCGATATATACGGATATTTTTCTTTTGCAAGGTATATGCGCGAATAATTTAATCTACGTAGTTATTAATTCTAGCAAATTGCTTTCAGATACAAATATTGTCATTTTTTATAAAGATCAACCAACTGGGGCACTTTAAACAGAAAGATATACAAAAGAAAATAAAAATATATACCTAGACATAAAATGAAAATCGTATTGTTGTGTCTTTCTTAGATCGATTTGAGTGACAAACGTTGCAACGCTTTTCTGTTTTGGGTCACTTTTTATAATTTAAATAATTATTCTTTGAAAACAAAGTGAGCGAATGATCTTAAAATTCAAACTCAAGTTATTTCTTTACAAGTCTATATAAACTTATTGACCTCCAGCGGAAGGATTAATTTTGACCTAAGCGGCATGATGGCCCTGTATCGCTAACCTACGTATGAAGGCTCAAATAACTGAGTAATGGCAATATTGATAACATTAAATGACAGACAGGCATAATGTCATAACCTAGCTCCATTCTTACTATATAAAGTAGGTCATTGGGTCAAAATGTAGGTGAAATGTCAATTTTGCATCAGAAACTGTGCTAAAAGTCCATATTTCAAAGCTTTAGCTCTATTTACAACAAATTATGTCAATCAAAGGGGTTTTCATTTTTAGCACTGAAGGTCATCTTTATAGAGTACCGTCAAGCAACGATTTTTAGGAACGATCATTTTCATATGGCTATATAATCAAAACTGTAAACATATAGTGGACGAAAGTAAATATTACTCAAACTAAATGTATTGTATCAAAGTTTTCACCTTTATGAAATGAGTGTGCATGAATAAGTATGAATAAAGATTATTCAAACAGAAGAGAATTTAACCTATAGTGATTGGTCATACTTATCTATAGGTAGAATTTACAACTTATAATTCAAATTTTACAAAAAATAAATATCAGATATGAGTTGCCATATACAATAATAAGTTTATTATACAATGTTGCGTATAAACGTATGATATAACTGATCGGAGGTATTATATATTGGCCCTGTTATTTGGCTAAAGTCTGTCGTATTTGTTTTAAATAGAAACAAGATTGCGGCTCTCATTCTTTAAAGTCATATCAACGCTTTCGTATTGGCTATGATTCTTAACCAATCAAAGAACTTCGTTTACACTGTGGCCTTGCTTTTGTCTGCATTGGCAATTGGGTCTGATAAGGTCACAGTCGCTTATGTTAAAATATATTTGCTAGAATCAGTATGGTACTCAACAATGTGTGACAAACTCATATATTTTAACCAATTATGTGACAGAGGAAAATACATTAGATTAAAGATAACACCTAAGATATTTAATAAGTATTTAATTTATATAAATGTATATAACAGATGCTGTCATTTCGAGTCCAATATAGATTTGATACGGACTTTTTGTAAGCGGGGCTAGACACGATGTAAAAATGGATTCAGTTCGGACTCAGAAAATGAAAGGAAGGCTTGATTGAGTGCAATATGTATTTGATACAGATTTCAGGAATCAGGAAATAAAAAATGAAAATAACTTGATGATAAGATTGGATCCAATAATGAATGTTTGATCTTAGAACATCATGTAGTGCAAATCCTGGGTTTCAATATTTATATTTAATGAAGCGTGCAGTACATAAATAAGTAATAGTTATATAACATGGAAAACAAATGATTTCATGTAATCTTTTAGCACTTACTTTGTTTACATTCAATATATTCTTCTTCTTTCTTGTCTTTGATTGCTGACTTAATTACTTTTTGTAACGTCTCAGCCAGTTTTGTCCGTTCTCTATCTCCTTCTTCATTCAGTCTTTTCAGCAGTGCGGCAGTTTGTGATTCCAGATCTTGTTTAATTTTGTCATATTGCTCATCTAATCCAGTCTTTATCTTGTCCTGAACTGCTTTTGCCACATCGTCTAGTGCTTTCCTTATATCATCTTTACCAATGACAAGAGTGTCATTTTCTAACTGTTATTATAAATACCATAAAAGATTTACAATATATCAATATACAACAGAATTCGATATCAGTTTATTATAAAGTGTACATTTCAAAGATAATGTGTATCTACAGTATATTTATTTGTAACAAATACATGTGCAATGTTGTTAATCACTGGTATGTAAATCGTATGCTGATCAAAATAATGATACGAGTCATTACAAAGAAGATTAACCAGCATATAATTAGTAACAGATTTACGGTTTAAACATGTATTTTAAAACTTGCCCGTGACTTTGCTTACAAACAAACATTTTGAGAATAAGTATGAATCTTCAGCATACACCACTTATAACCTTGTATTTGTTTGAATATTCTGACAATATTCTTTTTTATCAAATATTATGCGTGAAAATGAACAAAATATCCAAAAAAGAGAATTTTTCGTAGAGCATTTTGAAAAATCCTTCAATGTTTTAAAAGTATAAAAAACATGTTTTGTATATTTGCATACGAGCCGTTGCAAAACGGTTTACTTTTATAACAGCCTACTATTTTGTTCCCGAATAGATTATTATGTTTGCGTACAATGCTCATGTTCTGTAAATGACAGGGGCATTCTGGATTACAACACTTCTGACATTCTTCAATAACTTTCTATCATGGAAACAACATGATTTGCTGCTCAAAAAATCTAATAAAAGTATTTAATTGGACATATACACTTGTACTAAGATTACACATATTACTAATCATTCTAAATACACTAGCCATACAATGAAATATTTAGCGTATTCAAATGTTTACCTCTGTAAGTTTCTGTTTAGCATTCTGTGCATGCGTGTCTGTAGCTAAATATACGGGATCAGAAAGTAGTTTCTGTAATAGTTGAAAGTATTTCTGAAGATCTGAATCCTCTACTTCGAGCGAGGAAGAATGTCGCACAGTTTTTCCAATTTCTCTTGCCTGGTCAAAATGGAATACAAATTCCTATTTACTTTTACTTAAAACCTATAAATTGATCGCAAAATATACTCTTAACTGGAAAACTGTTCTGTTAAAGTAGAAAACAGTAGTTACAAGTACATGTATATAAACACAATAAGAGTATGTTGACTTAAAAAACATAGCCAGGAAAGTGGTCTGACGGTTGCATTTTTACAACTGCTGTATGCAAAGGGCCACTATCAAACAAAACCGGGGTATTTATCATTTTGAAGTCTTTCGCACTAGTATCCCTCTTATTTACAAGTATGACAATAAAATCAACATAAATTGTTTCATAATCAGGAATTTCACAAGATATTATTTCAAATAATGAATAATAATACAAACCCTGACATTATGTCATGCACACTTCATAACAATTATAGGGTTTAAACTGAAATTTTTGACTCTGAGAAATGTAGGAGTGTTGGTTAACAAGGATTTCTCTAAGTTTTCATTTTTTTATTTGATTATTTGTTTTTTTTTAATGAAAATAAAACCCGTAATAAGCCATAATATATAACAGATAAAGCGGATTTGCCTTCTAAAGATTATTTCTATATACATGTATACATATGATGTTAAAAAGTCCACTATTCTCCCAATAGGTTTTCTTATCATAAAATTCTATCAATATGACTTTTGGCACTTGATTGAAATACTTCTGTTAAAGTAGGTTTAAAATTCCTGAAATATTAATAATCAATAAAAATAAAGAAACAATTCTTCCCCACCACTACCAACGTTACCAAATGTAACTACTTGCTCTATTTTCAGAAAGCACGATGAAAGACAATATAATGTGTACCATCATATATTTGATACTATTTGTTGTATTATACCTATGATCATTGGAATATATCAATGTTGTTTTTGCTAACTTAGGACTTAACGTAAGTCTTCATAAATGGTTTCTAAATATTGTTTACCTCTTCAAATATATTGAGGTTTTCATGTACTTTCCTCTCGAAGTCTTTGTAATTGAGGATAACGCTGATTATACCGTTGAAGTCTGTTTCTGTTGCAGATGCTTTATCTTTATATCCATCTGGGGGCATGAAGCATTTCGCCACTTCCCATGAATTACTGCACCACTGGGTAGCATCAGTGTTTTTGTATGATGGACCAGAGTACCTATGAGCTTTCTGTATTCCTGATTTGAAATGATGGCAAATCCTATTCGGACAGCCGGCTAGGATGTAATTTGAATTTTTGTGAAAACTGCATTGTCCCTTCCCGACAATGCATATACCTTTTGTAGGACACTTAACAACATTTTCCGTGCTGCAACCCGAGCATATAGTCCCACTAAAAATGCCATTGTTGTAGCAAATATCATCTAAGCATTTCTGTTGAAATTGTTGAATTTCATTACAAACAAAAGGTTCAAGACCATCTTTAGTAAAAAACACAGCTAACTGAGCTTTTACCCAGTTATTATATTTCTTTTCTAACAGTTTAGGGCTATATGAAGCCATTGTTTTTTGCACTTAATAATTATAAGAATTGTCGTGTCTTGGAGTTCTGGGCTTAACCTGAAAAGGAAAAAATGCTAAAACATATCTTTATATTTCAATAAATAAAATTTTTAATTTTTTTCTTTATGCTTAGTAAAATGCACACTTACCTTTGCTTTTTATATATTAGTTAACGTAACTGATGAATTAAAGTAGCTGACTAAACTAGGCCATAGTATTGTAAACAACTTCTACCTGGATGCGTTCCAGCGGGTTCAACTGAATGACCTTAAGAATCTATGGCAAGTTAAATGGCACG